AATCTTCATTTTGGTCACACCACTACAGTTGCGGTGCCAGAATTTGAGTGCCTTCATAAATTGAATTAGAATTCATTCGCCAAACCAGGCGCTTTTTACGAATAGGGTGTATAATATAAAATACACTTTTGCAGATTACCGAATGCTTCGTTGTTGCAATATAATTCTGTTGAATTTTTATTACCACAATGTGAGAGGTGGCTCCTTTGGTTTTTTATTATATATCCCACTAACTGCGTCAGAAATTACCATCCCTGAAAAGAAATTGCTCTCCTGCTTTGTTGGGAGTAAAATACTCCACCTGGGTGTAATCGGTTAGAATCCATTTAGGGCTTGTGGAAAACGTTCTAGTTTCCTGGTCCGATAGCACACCATTTGTGGAATGTCAATTTGTAATAATTTTGGTTTCAGACGAGGTTTTAGATTAGGTGGTTTTTCGTTCATCGTCCATTAGTTTATTGACGGAGATTTGCGGTGAAAACGATTATGTTGAAAATAAACTAGCGCCGTTTTGGGTCATCATGTGAGCTAATGTTGGCGTATTAGGTGAAATGTAGTGACAGATTCTGCATGTTTTTATTTTATCAAGTTGTTTATTTGTCAAGACTTATTGCTGTAGCTTCACGGAGCCAAAATTAATTTTGTAATCCATTCAGCATGTTAGCATGTTAGCATGTTTCAGATGGTTTCATTTTTTTAAACTTTATTATAGATATTTTTAGCCGAAGACTAGTTCATCTCTTACAAATGGTTTCATGATTTTTTAATCAACCATCTTCATCGGTACCATTCTTCATATTCTGAGCACTTTACTAATTTCCGAGCGTTCCATATATGCGGTGGATGGTACCGACTGTCGTTCAACCAATTACGCTGATTTTTTATGTGTTTAGTTTCAACCATAAACTAGCTATCTGCTGAAAATTAACTCAATTGATTGAAGGACAGTACCACCATAGAGGTATCTCTAAGACTAGAAGGTCCCTAAATAACGTGCTCAACTTTTTGGCTCAGCTCTAGTACTCTCTTCGGTCCCAAGCTAATCGATTCACCTCTCGAAACATAGGAAAAACCAATAACCCCTCATTTTATCTGTCAAACTTTCATAGCGAATCAAAACAAACATTGCGTAGTACTAGAATTTCGACTAGAATGGGGTACGTTAATCGATTTGCTTGGGACCAATAGGCTAGTCAAGTAGTGAGCCAATTTAAAATCGTTAGTCTCGTATTGATTGTTGGTACCACCCACTGCATATATGGAGGGTTTACTGTACTTTTCGTTCAGTTAAAGGTGCCTACGGCTGGCTGCCTTACGACTGTTGACCCTTATTAGTAACCTACGTCGGATGTTTGCTTTCTACTTTTGGCACTCGTACGTACCGGACAAGATGAAAAAGCGTTTCGTAATCTGTTTTCTCGAATGTAAATACAAAAGAACCACGGCATTTTATGCCCAGTCTGCCTGCATTCATATCGTTCTCCGTTCATTCCATTGTCTGATGTTAGTCTGCTACCGCTCCAGGCATCTTACGGAATACGAAAAAGAAAGAATTCTACAAACAGTTAAAGCTAGCGGAAATTCATTTTTCCACGGGTTTTATCACCTGAAGGCGGCAGATACGGCTAATCACTCGTTGGATGGTTCGTGTTGAATCGCTTTGATGACAACTTTAATTGCTTTTTATTGATTACAAACCGCGTTTACATTCCAACTGTAGTTAACAGAATGTTCTGTTTTCTTTTCTTACATCGTTGTGCTGGTTTTCAATGACAATGAACCACATCGTAAGGATGTACTGAGTAAACGGAGCTGTATGCGTGCACGTCATTCAAAGCAAATAGAAACAGAGTAAGTTCATGCGAACCGACTTGAGTAAATAGTAACTACAAGTTGTAGTTAAACATCAAAAGTTTTCATGATGCTTGGGTGGTAGTGTAAGCTGATTCGTAGGTGTATGCAACCACGTGTCATCGACTGTGGTGTGCTATGATTACTTTTAAACACTGAACTCGTTGGGGGAGGTATACTTAAATTACGTGGCAAATTAATACCAATTTTAGATTTTCCTATACCGTAATGCACCAAATACTGGTTGTTCTGGTAATCCGGAAAAAAGATTTAATAAATATTTCGTCTACTTTGTAATATGATAAGTATGCGTGATGATTCTGAATGATGCTAAAAGACCATGATAAAAAGTACATACTTTTTGGAACACAGTACCCAACAAACGATTGTAACTGGGTATGCAACGATAATCAATTTTTGAAAATGGGGGTGACCCCGGCGTAGTTGTTTAAATCCATACCTCTCACGCCAAAGTCACGAGTTCAAATCTCACCCCCAGACAAGTCACAAATGACCCAAGAGCGTTAAAGTGACTATAATAATAATAAAAAAAAAACTTTAAAAAATTTCCGGATTTAGTAAGTCAGCGTACGGATTTCGGTACATAGTACAATATATGTATATGATTTCCAGTGAAAATTTGACGTTTAAGTGCTTATTGCAAGACGTCTATATTACGGGATATCAGCTATAGTATGAACGTAGAATTAGAAGCACTGAGGGAACGGCCAGGGTAGACGCGACACGCGACGCGACGCGATGCGACTCACGCAAGGAATAATAATAAATAATAAGATTCTTTTGAATTGGTCGCGTCGCGTCGCGAATCGCGTCTACCCTGGCCGTACCCTGACGTACATTGACAGAAATTTTCTATTGCAAGTTCAATTGATTTCCACGAAATAGAGGTAGTAAAGCTTTAATGACAGGTCGGGATAATTATTGTGGGCTTCAAGGGGTATTCATCTCTACACACACTAATCAGTGCCACGAGATTCAGGTGTGTCGAAAGCTGTGCCAAGCACTGTTCCAAGCACTGTGCCGAACGTGCCAAAGTAGGCCGAACTGTACCAATCAAGGGGTCAATATTCCATGAGTTTGGCAACCCTGAAATCATAATGACTTTTGTGATTGTGTTTTCATTTTCAAATTGTTTTGTCGTTTCTGGCAAACATCTGGCTTCATTCTCATTTGAACGTGAGTGCTCCGCTCCGCTCCGGGCAGTGGAAAAGAAACTCGATGCCATGTAACCTATACAGTGTTGTAGCAAATTCGACCCGTCCAAAAGAAAGGTGTGCAGAAACGAAGGTGTAACCTGATTGATGGTGGACGATTTCTCCTCCAGTTGCCTGTTAAATGCTCCCCGACAAAATCAAATCCAGAATTGGAACGGACGAAAGTTCAATCTTATCCTAGAAACAATATCTTCGAACCAGGTCATCTGATTGACTCAGAAGTACGTGGCCTCGAAGACATTACCCAAGCCTATCGTGTTGCTGATTATGATGTCTTCCGCAATGTACTACCGATGAAAACCAATGGGCAGTGTACCACCGATGAAAACTATCTAATATTCCCCCCTTTCCAGATCAGTCATGCTTCGGAAACAGTTTGTGATCCAGATAAGCTTTGCATCTGCAATTCTACTGCAGGCAGGACCCTGTGGTTGTTGTTGCTCATTTGCACGCCCGAACAGCAAGTTGCTTAGTGTCGACATGTGGGAACCGTTGACTCCACCGAAACCCCCTCTACGCGAATCAAATTTTAGGACACAAATCTAGGGGTTGGGCCAACCGGGCCGTTGCCCATTTTTGTAAAGAAAATTTCCCCATTTAAATGTGGGCTAGTCTAATACCCCACCTCGTATACAGGCAATGTACGAACGATTATGTATTAATTCAGAAATTTTATAAGTTTATCGAAACTTAATCATTCTGTAATTTTTAACTGTTCCAAATTTGAGTCAAAAAGCTTGCTGAAAAAAATAACTGCAAATACTTCGAATCCCGGTATCAACAACATAAGCTGCAGCACCCAACCGTCAATTGCATTCCAGTCATGAAAGGCACTCCACCTAGAAAAGTCCGTTGACGTTAATGAGCCGTTGGTTGGTGAAGTCACGCAAAGCCATAAACTTTCACAGGGGAAAAAGGTGCCATACTCGCAAACAGATCTATTTTGGTCCACTCGTTAGTTAGTTTCTCTGGCACTCTAACAAAATCACTCAACCTATACCTAGAAAGTCCATGTCAACAGGAATTTCACTTGATTCCAAACGGATGATAAGCAACGCTTCAGGTTGTCTCAAGGTTAATATTCGCCATTGACTTGCTCCTGGGACTATGGTGACCAGCATTGAACCTACTTTTTCGTTCTTTACTTTACTTTGAAGAAAACCAACAACGTTAATTCATTGTTTTTGTTCACAATTCATTATGGAGTCTGATAGTGGTTCATGGTTTTATGATCCAACCTTTTAATATTTTAGGCTTTTATTATGAACAGTATTAGCATTGGCGTAGCTAATGGGGGTGCCTAGGATGCCTTCCCCCCTGCAGGATTATGCAGGTACCTCCAATGTTTTTGTGGACCATAATGTCGACAATATAAATAATATAAATCTACTAAAAATTCTGGGGACCTGGATCATTTTGGAGGGGGCCTGACCCCCTAGGTACTCCTATTAGCCACGGCAATGAGTATTAGCTACATAGCACACAGTAGGCCAACGTCAATTTACGCACTCTGAATGGTGAATTAAAAAATCGAAAGTCGGGATGATGCTTTTTCACCGTGATTAGTGTCTCTGTTCGTTCTGTCCCACGCGTGGTAGATGACGAATAGTCAACGAATGCAACGAAATTGACTCTGACAACATCGAAAAGCACTCACTTTGGTGTAGGTACAGCGAGCAGGTTTACTGATGAAGTGAAATGATGTGTAGCCACGTGGTATTTTTTATTTAGGTATATGGATTCCCATTGAACCGTACGCAAGCTTCCATATACGGAAACGGTTCAACGAAGAGGTGTTAGAATGTTTTTTTAAATTTAATTCTTTACACGCTCAAGTTGAATGTTATCAAAATACGTTTGTAACATGTATTGTCACTTTATTTCTTTTCATCTCTCAATGTAAATGTTGCATAGATATCTCTATCCTATTTGGAAATTTATAACGAGTTAATTCGAGACTTGCTCAATCCAGGTGGCCCATTGGAGCTACGTGAAGTAAGTATAATGTCATTAATCATGTCTCCAGACACGTTGCTCACAGTTTACATATCCCTAGGATAACAAAGGCAATCAATCGGTAGCGGGCCTATCGGAAATATCTACCACCTCGCGTCAAGAAGTCATCCAATTGCTAATGAAAGGCAACAAAGCGCGAACGGTTGAACCAACGGCTGCCAACCAGACGTCGTCCCGTAGCCATGCGTTGCTTAGCATCACCGTGCTCAATCAGACACCTATAGGAACCAAACAAGGCCGATTGTTTTTAACCGATCTTGCTGGATCGGAGCGTGCCAGGAAAACCAAAAACCGTGGCAAACGTCTCCAGGAAGGAGCTCACATAAATCGCAGTCTACTGGCACTTGGCAACTGTATTAATGCACTAGCAGGCGGGGCACGATACGTCAACTACCGAGATTCCAAACTCACCAGATTGCTCAAAGAGGCACTCAGCGGTCGTTGCAAGACGGTTATGATCGCACATGTTGCTCCGGAAGCGAAGCACCGAGACGAAACCAAAAATACGCTTGTTTATGCAGATCGAGCTAATCACATTACCACTCGTTTGCAAAATCCAACCATCTTGGAGGAGAATCGAGAGCTACCGATTGCACACTATCAAGGCATGGTAGCTGAACTACGGGATGAGGTTGGTAGGCTAAAGTCGAAAATGATGTCGGATCGTCCACGGAGTGGTGCTGCGCTTCAAAGACAACAACAACCAGAAGATCAGCAAAAGAAAGTCGAACTGAAGTACCTTCGAGAGCAAATTGTACAAACTTTCAAGCAGCAGATGAGACTTCGGCGAAGGCTTCTGGAGGCGGACAGTCATCTGTTGGGATTGGAACTGGATTCAGAACGACAGCATATGGTCATATCACACTGGCAAAGTCGACAGGGAAAGCTATACGATCGGATGGATGAGGATGATGGTATGTTAGAGCCTGGTGGTTTTGTGACATTCTAAATTTTAACAAATCGCAGTCATTGTAGATTCCGACTCCGAAGGGAATTCAGCGTTGCGTTCTGCCTGGAACGAGCTGTCAGCCATAGAAAAGGAGGTCAAACGGTACCGCGAGATACGGGTGGCAACCGAGCATGACTTGGAGGAATGCAGGAAGAGAGGAGTTGCACTGGAAGACGTAAGTTTATCTTTTTTTTTTATCAATTGTGAAACCTGGGCATCTTTATCGGTAGTTTGTGTTGTATACAATTGAATGACATATTTGGACCTATTTGGACCAGTCAAAATTAAATCTATCAAGTTTCAAACTTCAAAACAAACCTGAAACCAAAACCAAAACTTCGTACAGTGGGACGATTCTGAAAAAAGGCAGGCAAGATCCTTTTTAATAGCTTTCCCGATATTTTGGAGTATTGGAAAAAGTTTCTTGAAATGTTATTCTGCAACTTTCTAAATAGGGTAGCGCGCTACTTCGTCGTAATCGCCCATTTCCGTTCTATCAATCAGAAAAGATCAATAATATCAATGATTTCACCATGCACAAATCAATACTAGGTTCATTTCGATGAGTTAGTTCATTAGCTACAACATAAATCCTATTAGAGCGCATTGTTTGAATATTTACGCTCATTGTTCTCAAAACAAAAGAAACGCTCCTAGCGAATCCCCTTTTTCTACGCTTATCCGTAGGACGAAGAAAATCTAATGGCGTTTCAATGCGTTAGGACGGAATTGAAACTCGTAGAAAGAAGCAGTGTTAGATTTTAGACAATATCTCAACAGTTTGTGACTCTTTATCAAATCCAACGGTACGTATGGAAAGGTGAATTAATTTGCAAGTTATCTTTCACAGAAATATTCCATTTTTTTTGTTTAAATTCGTTCAGAAAAGAGAGGTAAAGCGCGGGTTGTGCTTAGTAGGACGGAAATTAGATAAAAAACCCTATGCATGTACAATTTTTTTAAGTGGTGTTATATTTAGAAAAAACCAACTGTAATCACTAGATAATAGGATTATGTCTTCAACAAAGTTATAGAGCTATAAATTTCATGAAAATTTGCTCAAGGCACTAAGTTTCTACATCATAAGTCTAGCAAGATATTTGTTTGCATCATAAACCTTAACTAATCTATTCGACGTGTTATACTATTTTCTCAAAATTATCAAAATACATAACTTTTCTGAAGACAGCAATATTGTAAATCGCTTAATTTGCTTTGTAAAGCGATTTTAATGCAACATTTCAGCAATTTTTCAATTAAAATTCTTTTGAAAATGGCAGTTTCTGGTAGTAACAATTTTCGTTGTTTGATCAATCATTAAATGAAATACTAATGTAGCAAGAATCACTGTCGTGTCTGCTCCGGTGTATTGTTTTATCCAATACCCAACAAATAATTGGTGCTGATTAAAGGCTAAACAAGCCATATTTTTTACTGAAGAAGTATATTTTTGCCTGAACAAGCTCTTACTCTGCTTCCAATGTTTGTTGGATAGTCTTTTCGGATTTTTTAATTAATGTTAGCTATTATTTTAATTGCAGCATAAAATTAAAATTGATTCAGGACAAATTCATGATTCCGATATGCCATTAAACGTTGGTATCTTGCACCCATCTTAAAAAACAATGGCTTTATGATGCAGATTTCCAAATTTGCACAGTGAGGTATGAGATTGAAATTTTAAAATTCTACTATTTCTCAATTAATAGTGCTCCATTGCCTTTATTGTTTATTTTTTCAATGATTCTACGGGATACAACCAATAATCAATTCGAAACTAACGATTTTAAATTGGCTCACTACTTGACTAGTCTATTTGTCCCAAGCAAATGATTAACGTACTCCATTCTAGTCGAAATTCTAGTACTACACTATGTTTGTTTTGATTTGCTATGCAAGTTTGACAGATAAAATGAGGGGTTCGTGAATTTTCCTATGTTTCGAGGGGTGCATGGATTAGCTTGAGACCGAAGATAGTATGTGATACAACCATAGACTCTAAGACAGGAAGGTCCCAAAGAAAAGAGCTCAAATTTTTGGCACAGCTCTGGTACTATCTTCGGTCCCAAGCTAATCGATTCACCCCTCGCAACATAGGAAATTCCCGAGTAAATTCCACTAACCCCTCATTTTATCTGTGTGCCAATGTCATCGGCGAAACCAAGGAGCTGGATGGACTTCCTGAATATCGTGCCACTCGTGTCTATCCCAGCTCTTCTGATCACACCTTCTAACGCGATGTTGAACAGTAGACACGAAAGTCCATCACCCTGCCGTAACCCCCTTCGAGATTCAAAGGAACTCGAGAGTGTCCCCGATACTCGAACAACGCACATCACTCGATCCATCGTCGCCTTGACCAATCGCGTCAGTTTATCCGGAAATCCGTACTCGTGCATAATCTGCCATAGCTGATCTCGATCGATTGTGTCGTATGCGGATTTGAAATCGATGAACAAATGATGTGTGGGCACGTTGTATTCGCGGCATTTCTGCAGAACCTGCCGAATCGCGAAAATTTGGTCCGTGGTAGCGCGGGCACCCATGAATCCCGCCTGGTATTGCCCCACGAACTCTCTTGCATATGGTGACAGACGGCGGCATAGAATTTGGGAGAGTACCTTGTAGGCGGCGCTCAGCAGTGTGATCGCGCGGTAGTTGCAGCAATCCAACTTGTCGCCCTTTTTGTAGATTCGGCATACGACACCTTCCATCCACTCCTCCGGTAATATCCCCTCCTCCCAAATCTTGGCAATTACCCAGTGAAGCGCTCTAGCCAGTGCTTCACCATCGTATTTCAATAGCTCACTTGGTAGTTGATCTACACCAGTTGCTTTGTTGTTCTTCAGCCGACCGATCTCCTCCTCAACTTCTTGAAGATCAGGGGCCGGTAGCCTGTCGTCTTCTGCGCGTGCTCCAAGGTCTGTTGCCGTGCCACCTTCGTTTTCTGCTGCTTCACCGTTGAGGTGCTCGTCATAGTACTGCTTCCACCTCTCAATCACCTCACACTCGTTCGTGAGAAGGTTACCGTCCAAGTCCTTGCACATATCGGCTTGCGGCACGTAGCCTTTGCGCGAACTATTTAGCTTCTCGTAGAATTTCCGTGTGTCGTTTACGCGGTACAGATTTTCCATCGCCTCGCGATCTCGGTCTTCCTGCTGACGCTTCTTCCTTCGGAAAACCGAGTTTTGTCTGTTCCGCGCTTGTCTGTATCGCTCCACATTCAATCTCGTGCGGTGTTGCAGCATTCTCGCCCGTGCTGCATTCTTCTCCTCTACTAACAGTTTGCATTCGCCGTCAAACCAGTCATTTCTTCGGTCCGGGATTGCAGTACCTAGTGCCGCTGCAGCAGTACTACCTATGGCTGAACGGATGTCCCTCCAGCCATCTTCAAGAGAAGCTACGCCAAGCTGCTCTTCCGTGGGTAGTGCAACTTCCAGCTGCTGCGCGTAGTCCTGGGCAATTCCGGCGTCCCGTAGTTGCTCAATGTTGGGTCGCGGCGTTCGACTTCGACGTGTGTTATGCACCGTCGAGAGTTTTGAGCGCATGCATACTGCAACTAGGTAGTGGTCCGAATCTATGTTCGCACTGCGGTACGTAGTGTGTGCACCGTAGAGTGCAGCGAGCTCGTGGTTCATTCTTCGCCGCCACTCACCGTTCTCCTGCACACCGCCGAAGATCGTCCTTAGCACACGTCGCTCGAAAACTCCGAGTGCTTGCAGGTCCTCCTCGAGCATAGTCCATGTCTCGTGTCTATAGAGGACCACCGGTCTTATTAGAGTTCTGTATATGGTACATTTGGTGCGGGGGTGAAGCTTTTTTGACCGTAGTTTCTTCTGGAGCCCGTAGTAGGCACGACTTCCACTGATGATGCGCCTTCGTATTTCACGACTCACATTGTTGTCAGCCGTCATTAAGGATCCAAGGTAAACGAATTCCGCCACTACCTCGAAAGTATCCCCGTCTATCGTGACATTACTTCCTAGACGAATCCTGTCATGTTCGGTTCCGCCTACTAGCATGTACTTTGTTTTTGACGCACTCACCACCAGTCCAACCTTTGCTGCTTCGTGTTTCAGGCGGGTGTATAGTTCTGCCACCGTTTCAAATGTTCTTGCGATAATGTCCATGTCGTCCGCAAAGCACACAAATTGACCGGATTTCGTGAAAATCGTACCCCGGCAGTTGAGCCCGGCTCGTCACATTACACCTTCTAGAGCAATGTTGAAGAGTAGGCATGAGAGTCCGTCACCTTGTCGCAGTCCCCTGCTAGATTCAAATGAACTGGATAGTTCACCCGAAACCCTTACGCAGTTTTGCACACCGTCCATCGTTGCTTTGATCAGTCTGATCAGCTTCCCAGGAAAGCCGTTCTCGTCCATGATTTTCCATAGCTCTGTGCGGTCGATACTGTCGTATGCCGCCTTAAAGTCGATGAACAAATGATGCGTTGGGACCTGGTATTCACGGCATTTCTGGAGGATTTGCCGTACGGAGAAGATCTGGTCCGTTGTCGATCGGCCGTCAATGCAGCCGGCTTGATAACTTCCCACGAACTCGGTCATTTTAGGTGATAGACGACGGAAGATGATCTGGGATAGCACTTTGTAGGCGGCATTCAAAATGGTGATCGCTCTGAAGTTCTCACATTCCAAATGGTCGCCTTTCTTGTGAATGGGGCAGATTACCCCCTTCTTCCACTCCTCCGGTAGCTGTTCTGTTTCCCAGATCCTGACTATCATCCGGTGCAGGCAGGTGGCCAACTTTTCTGGGCCCATCTTGATGAGTTCGGCTGCGATACCATCCTTACCAGCTGCTTTGTTGTTTTTGAGCTGCTGAATGGAATCCTTAACTTCCCTCAGCGTGGGAGTTGGGTCAGTTCCGTCCTCTGCTCCACTGACGTAGTCATTTCCTCCATTGCGCTGGTCTCCCGTGCCTACGTTCTCCTCGCCATTCAGGTGCGCATCGAATTGCTGCTTCCTCCTTTCAATCACCTCACGTCCGTCCGTCAAGAGGCTCCCGTCCTTATCCTTGCACATTTCGGCTCGCGGCACGAAGCCGTTGCGGGATGCGTTAAGCTTCTGGTAGAACTTCCGTGTTTCTTGGGAACGGCACAGCAGTTCCATTTCCTCGCACTCCACTTCTTCCAGGCGGCGTTTTTTCTCCCGAAAGATG